AGCAAACAAAGAATGTGGGTTGAACATTGGAAGAAACTCTTCTGAGTATTTTCTAGTTTTAGACAGCTTGAACCAACTTCTGACCTCACCAGGTACAGCCATTTCAAAGGTGCCATTGTCACATTGGCCACTGGGTGGCACTGGTGAAAACCAGGTGGCTTTGGGCAACTGGCGAGACCATTTTTCATCTTTGTTGGACATTTCTGTTTTCCCCTTGTGAATATCCTGCTCGTGACATCACCCTAGTTTCCTATTGCTGTGCTTTCTTCATGTCACTTTCTAGGAGTTCTTAATGACCTGTCCACTGCCATCGACACTCTCTGTGGTTGTCACTTGCCTTTTAGTTTAGGTCAGTCTTCATCTGGCCTTGAACTGACCCTCGGTCATGTGGACTGATTGCTGGGATGTTTAAATCGCTTAAGAAACCTCCCAAGCGGCCGCACCTCATTGCTTCCATCCTCACCTGCCGTGCACAAGGGTTCGAGTCTCCACTGCCTCGCCAGCACTAGGCTGCTAACCATAAGGTCAGCAGTTCTAATCCACCAGCTGCTCTGCAGGAAAGGAAGAGAGGCAATCTCTTCCCATAAAGATGAGAGCCTCAGAAACCCTCTGGGCATTTGTGTCGTCCTCCGGCGTCACTGTGTGTCATCTGGATGGTACTAAGTGTGAGGCAATCTTATCCTATAAAGCTGAGCCTCTGAAGCCCTCTGGGTATTTCTGTGTCGTCACCCAGCGTCACCGTGTGTCAGCTGGTCCTGGGAGCATGACTGGGACATGTTACAGTGATGACCTGGTACTGATCCATTACTAACTAACTGACGTCAGTGGTTCATATCAGAGCTCTCACTCTGTGCCTTGTCTGGACCTGTGGGTTTCGACAAATGCATGATGGTTTATTCCATCACTACGGTGTCACACAGCATCATTTCCTGGCCCCAGAACTGTGTGTCTCACAGCTGCATGCCTCCCATCCTCCCCCGCATTCCCGACACCCTTTGACCTTCACAGTCTGTGGTTTGCCTTTTTCAGTGTCATCTTGCCGCCAAGGAGGATGGAGCCTTCTCCTACTGGCATCTGTGCCCAGCAGTGAGCACCTAGGGTTCTTCTGTAGCTTCGGTGGCTTGGTTATCAATGATTTCAAATGACTGATTAAGGCACCATTGCATGGCTGTACCCCAGCGTGCCTAGCCATTCACCTGGGGAGGGGACTCCTTGAAGAAAACAGTAGAAGATCGGGATCATGGTGTATGTTTTGGTTTTTGTTTGCTTTTGCCCAGAGCTTGTGCAGAGGCCTGGGCTCGGGGAGGCTCTGCGGCCGAGAAGGAGGAGAGACTGCAGTGGGAGACCCGGGAGCAGAGAAAAATCAGAGACAGCATCGAGGCTTTGGCGATGATCAGACGGCGGGCAGAAGAGAGGAGAAGGCAGAGGGAAGCCAGAGAGGAAGGTACGTGCCCCCCAGGAGGGCCCTGTGTGCCCCCCCCCAGAAAGGTCACTGCCTTGGTGCACTGTGGCCTGGGAAGGGCCCGCAGCTGGGCTCAAGGGCTGTGAGCCTGGGATGGCACCGGACAGGCTTTCGCCTGTGTGTCAGTCTGCAGTTAGTCCCACCCACCTGCTGGCTTCCTGGAGAAAGTTTCCACAATTGAGTACAGATTCCGGACATGCAGACCTCTCCAGGCAACAGCATCCGTGGGCTTGGGTTTTGGGGTTCATAGCTTACACAGCACCAATGTGTCATCTAGCTGTGGGGGCCAGAAGCCCCAATGAGTCTCATGGGGTGAACAGCAGGCTGTCTGCAGGGCAGCCTCCCTGTGGCAGTTACGGGGAGACCAATTTCTTTGCTTTTTCCCAGCATTGGAGGCCGCCAGCCATACCTAGGCTTATGGTTTGGGACGTTATGTATGCTGAACGTCCATTACATGCATGTGTGTGTACACATGTGCAAACAAGCATAAACACAGGTTTAAACATGCAGGCATGCACACACACCCGTGTGCAGCTCTGCACACGTGAACACACACTCCCAGGTTGGCATGCTCACACACCCATGTGCAGACATGTACCCTTGCACACACACATGCAGGCATGCACGCCCTGCACATATGCGGGCTTGCACACGTGTTCACGTGTACACATGTGCAACCATACACACATACACATACGCAGGCTCACACACATTGTTTTCTACCTGCTGAACTATTTGAAAGTACAAACACCAGGCCCTTCTCGCCTCAGTGCTCCGACGTGTGTCTCCCGAGAACCCCCGCCTTCTCGTGTTGTCTCAGGCTCCCTGCTGCTCCCCGGGGTCCTGTGGTGACAGCTCTCTGGAGCCCTTCCTGGACTCTGTGCTGCAGCCCTAGCTATGTGTCCAGGACGCCTGCTCACACCCTCTCTGAGGGCTCTTGTAAATGAGAGGATCCCTTCTCCTGCTGGAGGGTTTCAACTTCACCCCTGGACCCCTCCTGTTTAGGGGAGACCCAGCTGCCACGTGACAGTGAAGAGGTGGGCACAGACGGGGAAGGAAAGGAGGCACCGCCCAAAGACCTGGAAACGCAGCAGAGAATGGAGGTGTTTGTGCTGGAGAGCTTCGAGGCGAAGGACGAGCTGTGCCCAGAAAAGGAGGATGGGGGTGCTGAGGCCCTGGAGCCAGGAGGGTTGCTGCCAGCCCGGGCGCCCAGCCTGCCAGTTCCAGGTGCTGCCCAGGAAGGTGAGTGAGGGCCCAGTGTGAGGGCCCCACCACCCACAGAACCCCAGTGTGAGATCTGGGTTCCAGCAGTGAGGGAGGGGCATGGGTCTCACCACACAAAACCCCATTACTGGGGGTAGCTTGCTAGGGTGGACGGTCCTCATATAATGAGGAAAAACATCACGTCATTAATCTTGACACAAGACTCAAAGCCATGAACTGGAGAGGTCCCTTAGGTTATAGTTCCGGGGAAGAGGAAGCTTATGTTTTCATGTCCCCTGGCACCCCAAAGTATAGGCATCCTGGTCCCTGGCTTTTGGTGGCCAGAGAGGTGTGAGTGCTGACCGGGGAGCAGGCGGGTCTGGTCCGGGGGCTCACTCCCTTCATGGCTGGCTACTTCGTCTCCAGCCTGCCTCCTCCAGGACCTTATCAGCGTGCTGCCTTCTCGGGGGCCTGCATTATTCTGGCTGGTCTCCTATCTCTCAAGCTCTGGTGGTCTAGGGATAGGGACCCGCACTGCCATCCCAAAGGCTCATGATTCAGTTCCCCATCGCTGGGGCTCCTGTCCAGATTCAGAAAGGAAGCAGCTCTCCCCTTCTCATCTCAGTGGACATAGCCTTGCTGCCCTGGGTCGTTGTGGCTTCTGCCACTGGGCAGCCTGTGACCCGAGCAGGGTCCACGATCCTTCCAAGGTCCACATGCGCTGTGATTGTCATTTCTCAGAGTCACCTCCCGACTCAGTGACCGCCGAGGGGGCTGCAGCTAGAGAAGCAGCCGAAGCCAAGAACGCAGAGGCCGTTGAACTGGAGATGGAGAAGCAGCTCTTCATTGACGTACGGAAAGGGCGCTGCTGGGGGCGGAGGGTCTGGTTCCTGGCTGGCTGATCAGGTGACCTGCCCCCCGACATTGTGCTCGGCGGGTCAGCAGGCCCGGCTCCACCTGGAGCACCCCATCTGAGTCTGTGCGTTCCTGAGATTTCTCAGTGACCGCAGTGCACATCCGAGTCTGGGTAGCCGATTGCCCACCCAGGGACACCCTGTTTACAGAAGCACAGAGAGACTAAGGTACCTGCCCAAGGCCACACAGCGAGGAGAGCCAGCAGGGCAGGTTCCAGAGCCCCTTTCTGCTTCCCCCGCATGCCAGAGGGGTCAACATGGACGGATATCCACTGCCCCACAACTCCAGCAGATCCCCACCCCATACACACACAGAAAGCCCCAAAGCACTGGGGGAGTCAACAGTGTGCCAAGACCAGTCTGTTCTGGGAGGGACAGGGTGTATTTGCCCACGCTCCCAGAGAAACACCCCGTTTATGGTGACAAAGTGACAGGGAAAGACATTTGGAAGGCCTTCAGGCGTGTCCACGGGCCGAGTCACTCCGGTGTTGCAGATGCAGACACTGACTGGGCAGAGTCTGTTTGAAGGGCAGCGGGCAGGGCTGTCGGCCGAGGGCCCTGGGCCACTGCTCCTCATTTCTCCTCTCTACCCCACCCATGTGCACACTGAGGTGGCACTTGGATTATGCCAGGCTCTGTGTGAGCATCCTGGTGACATGTGGCTGGCCACCTGCTCTTTCAGGACCTGCCTGACCTGGAAGACGTCGATGCCAGTGAACTTCTCTGCAGCCAGGATGAGGTGACTGGACACATTGCCTGCCCCGCCCCCGGGGGTTCACTCTCAGTTTAGCCTGGTCATGTCCGAAGCCCACCTTCTTGCCCTTTTGAGATGTGGAAATGCTCTCGGAGAGGCACACCCAGAGCACGACCCCGGCCGAGCAGTCTCCCTCCCTCCTGGGTCCTGCACACACATACACACAATCCCACCACCCCCCGGGCTCCTTGAACACGTGTGCTGGGTCAGGTCATGGGGCCCTGTACTCCCCTGCCCCAGGCGTGTGCCATGGCAGGCAGTCGCAGCTCAGGCTCCCTGAGTACGGGCTGGTCAGGCCATGATGACCGGACTCCCTGGCATATGCTGTGTCAGGTCACGGGGCCCAGGCATGTACCATTACAGGCAATAGCAACTCGGGCTCCCTGAGCATAGGCTGATCACAGGTCGTGGTGACCAGGTTCCCTGGCATGTGCTGGGTTAGGTCACAGGGTCCTGGGCTCCCCTGCCCCAGGCGTGTGCCATGGCAGGCAGTCGCAGCTCAGGCCCCCTGAGTACAGGCTGGTCAGGTCATGATGACCAGGCTCCCTGGTATGTTCTGGGCCAGGTCATGGGGCCCAGGCATGTCCTGTGCAGGCAGGAGCAACTTGGGCTCCCCGAGCACGGGCTGGTCAGGTCAAGGTGATCTACGCACTCCCCACCCCTCACCCCTGTTCCAAGTGCATGTAATTGGATGGTGGAGATCTGGGCTCCCCACTCCCTCCCCCAAGTGCATGTTTTCAGGTCAGGTCGTAGTGCCCTAGGTTCCCAGACAAAAGCATGTCAGGGGGTAGTGACCTCGTCCATCCCCCTGGCATGGGTCAGTTGTGGTGCCCAGGGCTCCCCAGACATGAGCGTGTTGGCGTGTGGTGACCTGGTCCGTACCTGTGGCATGGGTCAGGTGGTGGTGCCCACTGGTCTACAGGGCATGAGCTCCCTGCATGCGCTTTGCTGCCCCTGCTGAGGTGGACCTCACCACTCTCCGCTTGCTCTCGTCTCCCTCCCTGTCATCCTTGTGCACTAGAGAGGGGGAAATAGAGAAAGGGGGAGAAGGAAGCCTAAGACCTCCTTCCATGTAGAGAGGGGCTGTGCGCGTGGCACAGGGCTGGGCCAGGGACCTGCACCTGTTCTGAGTGGGCCCCACTTGGGCCGGAGCTTGTTGGGATTGCTGGCCAGTGGGCAGGCGCCTGTGGCCAAGTGGCACACGGAGCGTCACTGGTGACTTGTAGAGGGTGTGGGCTTTGGCCAAGGAGGTCACCAGGCCCTCGGGCCCAGAAAGGACTAGCCGGGGATTGTCCCTCCTGAGACCTGGCCGCAGAGTTCTCTGCTCCCCTGGCCTTTCGTTACACGTGGCCACAGAACACTTTTTTTTCCAAAACAGAATTAGCGTGATGCGACTTCGAGTGACATGACTGTGAAAACATCCAAACATGTCTTCTCACTTTTGTAGCAAATGAGTGTTGTGAAGATTGAGAGCATCCCGAGCTCACGTGACAGCAGCGACACAGAGCTGGACTGCACATTGTTCCCAGAAGCGGAGAGCGCGCCCACTGACTCCCTTTCCAGAATATTCGCACTCCCAAAAGACATGCCAGAGAAGGCCGAGACACCCTTTATGGACATGTTTAAGATAGAGGCAGAGAGTGCCTCGGGGGTGCAAAGTGAGGGGCCGGGGCCTTCCCGACCGCTGATCCAGGAGCTTGACGATCGATGTCTGGATCAGCTGCAGATGTCCTCACCCTGTGACATGAACGCCCGGCCAGGCCCGTCCACCAGCGGGGACAGGGATGTGCTCACGGCCTCCCCACCAGGTAAGGCCATGCTGGCCTTGGTGATGGGCCCAAAGCACACCACCATGATGTGAGATGCGGCTTCACTCCCTGTCCTTGGGGTACAACACGCTGCGGCTCACAGAAACCACCCTGAGTTCTCGGCCCCAAGAAGCTGCCTGGGGGACCAGTGCTGGGTGGGTATGACCAGCCACATGCATGGGGTCCCAGGCCCCTACTGCCGTCGGCTCTCAGCGCTGGAGCGAGCAGATGGAGAGGGCTAACCTCTAAACCAGACGCAGTGCTCTCGACCCCGTTCAGAGCAACCCCGCAGGGCAGAGCTGAATGGCTTCACAAGAGCTCCAAAGTTCTGATCTGTACAAAGCTGTCCGACCTTTTCCCAAAGAGGAGCTAGTGGGTTTGAACCACTCACCTTTCAATTAGCAGCTCACTGCCTCACCCGTTACACCACCAGGGTTGCTAAGGGGAGGCTAAGGAGCCTGTGTGTCCCCTAGCCTGCCACTTCCAGGTCACACGTGTGGCTCTGGGCCACAGAGGGGACTGAAATGTGGGACAAGGAGGCAGTGGCCTGCGGATGGGACCCTAACGTCTGGGATCCTGGGGGATCTAGTGATGGTCAGGCTGGATGGGCAGATGGCCACACCAAACAGGCTATGCCTCAGCTGGCCCCGGTGGCCTCCGAGCAGGCTGGGAAGGGTTGGTTTGGGGACAAGCTGGCAGGGCCGTTTCAGATGTCCATATTCAGGCATGCTGGCCTCTAGGACAGAGCGTACTGGGCACACCAATGAGTCCTATTCACGCTCACAATCGTTTGAGCAGAGACAGCTTTGTCCGGCTGACTCAGATCGGTGAACAGAGGGCCAGGGAGGCACCCACAAATTCAGCTGTCTTCTGTCTGAACTCTTCAGGAAATGTTGCTGGGTGGAGCCACGTACAGCCCCAGCCTGGGGTGTCTGTGGAGGCCAGCGAGGGGGATGACCACGAGGACATTGAATTTGGGCTGGACTGAACCCAAGGTGCCCCCTCATCCACATACTAGAACAGCTGGACCCAATGCCAGAGGGAGGGCATAGCCGGCCACGCTGATTGTCCCTGCCCTTCAGGCTCCGCTCCATGGGGACCTTCCTGTGGCCGCCCCAGTCACAAGGCCCCGTCCCACTCGCCCAGCCTCGCGGACGCAGACCACCACCGTGCTCCCCGTTCCTGAAGAGAGTGGTCCAGCCCCACCTGTCGATGTACACCCTGCCACTAAATGCCTTCCCTCCTGAGCTTTATAAATGTTTTCATACCCACATGAGGCAGCATCACTGGACTGCTTACTGCCCAGGTGGCTCAACCAGAGCACGCCCACCGCCTCCTGTCGATTCCACCATACATCTAGGGGAGACGGCCCGGCCTCCTAGAAACAGGATTTGAACCACCAGCCTCTTATTAAAACCAGGTTAATTCTGTTTATCAACTTCCCTGAGAAACAGACTAGGAATCCAGGGGAGATGCTGGTTCCAAGTGGGCACATCCCCCCAGGAGGGCAGAACCTTCCAGTGAGCTGCAGCAAGTTGAGGGGAGTAGAGGTAGCAGTGTCGGGGAGACTGAAGCACGTGGATGGAAAGGCAGTCACTTGTCTGAGGCCTGGCTCCTCCAGGGGGCTTTGTAAATGACAGGAGGGAGGACCACCTGGCCAGCCAAGTCCCTGTCTCCACGGGCTGGCCAAAGGCAGGGAGGGTGCATGGTAGACGGTCGTCAGTTCCTGGGTCTGCCAGCCCCAGGCTCTGCTGCTGCACACACAGTGCTGGCTGCGGCGGGGGACAGCCACCCCATGCCCTCAGAAGCCCATGCGGGACTTCTTCCGGGGCGGCTGCTGTCTGGAGGGGGTGCTCCAGATGGTGGACGCCTGGGAGGCGGGTGCGGAGTCGGCCCTGGAGCCGGGAGGACGCAGCTTGACCATGGAGTCCTGGAGTGTCTGCTGTCGCTCCTTGGGGATGTTTCGAGCCCAGGGCTCCTGGCTCAGGCCCTGGGAGGGGGGTGCGGTGGCAGCCCGGGGGCCAGAAGGGAGCGGCGTGTCCATGCTGTCTTGGAGAGTCTGCTGCTGTTTCTGGCTCAGGCCCTGGGAGGGGGGCGTGGAGGTGGTCCTGCGGCAGGAAGGGAGTGGCTTGTCCATGGTGTCTTGGAGGCTCTGCTGCTGTTCCTGGGTCAGATCTTGGGAGGGGGGCGTGGAGGTGGCCCTGGGGCTGGAAGGGGGCAGCCTGGCCATGTAGTCCCGGAGTGTCTGTCTTCGCTCCTTGGGGACACTGTGAGCCCACGGCTCCTGGCTCAGGTCCTGGGAGGGGGGTGTTGGTGGGGGCCGGGGCCCGGGGGAGGCCTGGTCAGGGCTGGGTGGCAGGCTGGGGCCCTCGGAGAAGTCCCAGCGGCTGCTGAGCGAGGAGAAGGTGCTGGAGAGCTGAGAGCGGCGCTTGTGCCTTCGGGGCTGGTGTCTGAGGCCTGAGCCCCGGTCCAGATGGCGCTTCCACCAGGCCCGGCCCCGGCCCTCCCAGGCCTCACTTAGCCTCTCGCTGAGCTCATCCTCGGGGCTGGACTCGGGGGCCGGGGGCGGCTCAGCCACGAGGAGAGAGCCCGCGTCCCTTGGCCGCAGGAGCCGCCCCTGGGCCATGGCCGAGCGCAGAGCAGACAGCACTGTCCCCTCACCCCGAGGCTGCTCCTTGTAGCCAGGAAGGTGGCGGCGGATGGAGAAGGTGGGCACTGTCCACACAGGGGAGGACCTAGGCACCTTGAGCAAGGCCTCCAGCCACCGGCTGCAGTGGGCAGTGGCGTGGGGGGTCCAGGACATTGTGGTGGGCACTCGGGGCTCAGGACTAGGGTCACTGGGGAGGTCTGTGTCGCTATGGCCAGGGCCCTCCTGGAGGTACAGGTGCTGATAGAACAGGTCCCCTGCCGCAGACAGGTGGAAGAGAGCCAGGCCAGGTGTGGACGAGGCGGGTGGGACGGCGGCCACCAGACCTGCAGAAGAGTCACGGTCACCTCTCGTCTTGGGAGGAACCACCCCACAGCCTGCCCACCTGTCCCCACACCTGTGCTTGGCGCCCTCAGCCGCTCCTGCAGCCTGTGCTGCTCCACAGGGTCCAGAAGGGGGAACCCCGAAAGGGCATCAGTCCTCGCTGGGAGGGACTGGGGGGGCCCGGCCAGCCGGGGCGTGGAGGCCTCCTCTCCTGAGGACAGACAGACAGCTCGGGGCTCCATCTGGGCAGGTCTTGCCTGCCCGCCTGCCCACCGCCCCTCTTTAGCTAGGTTCTCACCTGAGAGGTGCAGGAGCTGCAGCTGGCCGCCCTGACCCCCCAAGAGCAGGGGCCGCGGGGCTCCAGGGCGGGGTGCAGGCAGCAGCTGGGCATGCAGGGGTGCAGATGACAGGCCATGCGTCCACTTGAGCATGGGCACCAAGGGAAGACGCTCGTCCACCAGGTAGAGCGAGAACTGGCCAGGGAGAGCAGAGAGTGTGACCAAGCCCCTGCCCTGACCTTCCGCTAAGGGGCCCACCCAGCTCTCTGGATGAGAAGTAAACACCTGCACGGCCTCCCCTGGCCCACCTGGAACTCGGGGCTGTGGGCCTGGGTAGGTGGTGCTGTCGTGGGGCTTGCCGAGTGTGCCAGTCCCCAGGAGAGCTGGATGCAGGCATGCTGTACAGAAACCCACACAGACTTCTGCCTTCTCAACTGGACCGGAACGTCGGACCCCCAGGGCCTGGAGTGGACAGCCTCCCACCCACCCTGTCCCCCTCGCCCATTCCTCAGCACCTGAGCAATCAATCGTCTACAGCTGTGCAGACTGCTCCCCACTCCCTCCACCCGTGATCCCGACTACCTGGCCGGACCCCCTGGCCTTCCCTGATTGCAGCGCGCAGGGCTGCGGGGGCCGGCGCCTGCTCCAGCACACGGGGCTGGGCCCTGCCTGCTGCTGGCCTACCGCTGGCTGGGGACTGCAGGGCCACCAGCCTCCAGAAAGGCCCGGAGGGGAGCCAGGCCCTCACCTGGGTGCAGACAAGGTGGAGGGTGGGGCTCAGAGACGGGGTGCTAGACGCCCCCAGGTACTGGACCAGCAGGATGCGTTCTCCTTTCTGGCATGAGGCCTCTGCACCTCCACGAAAAAGCAGCAGACCACTGCCCGGGGGGCCCTGGAGGAGAAACACAGGGTAAGCTCCCCTACAGCCCAAGGACCAAGATGTGGCCCACCCTCCGTAACCCCTCAACATCGCCTCCCTCCACCTCCACCTGCACCCCTCCCATCACTCTCTGCCTCCTCGGTCAGCCCAGGTGGGACCCTCATCCCTCACCTGTGTATCTACTAATTTTACTCCCGTACGATCCCCAATGGTCAGCACCCGGGGGTGGGCAGTGAAGTCTGCCCAGCGCCAGGGAGAGGGGTCCCGGAACACCAGGGTCTCGGGGTCTTTGTAGACCTGCTGTAGCCTGCGGAGAAACTGAAGTGAGGGCTGAGGAGGGCGGCAGGAGACCTGGGCCTGGGGAGTGGGCAAGAGCACAGCTGGGTACAGGGTTTTTACAGGGTCGGGAGGGCATTACCCGTCCTGGGGCGTCCACAGGCAGACAGTTCCAGAGCGGCTGCACACAGCCAGTTCCCCGGGTAGGTGAGGGCTGCAGGGAAGCGCATGATGAGGGGGTTGCCTGTCCCCTCCTCAGTGCCACGCCCACCAACCCCCGTACCCTTCCACCTGAGGCTGATGCCTGTAGCTCCTTTATCCACGTGCAGCACCTGGAGGGGGGCTGGCTGCCCCTGTTTACCGACCTTCCACACGGCACAGTGGTAGTCTGAGCGGACGCCCAGCAGAGCTGAAGAGTGGAGAGTGGAGTGTGTCAGGGCCAGTGAGGGCCAGTGAGGGGGGTGAGGGGTCAGGGCCAGTGAGGGGGGTGAGGGCGACGTTGGGGGGTGAGGGCTGGTGGGGGGGTGGTCACGGTCATTGAGAGGGGTGAGGGCTGGTGAGGTGGGTGGTCAGGGCCAGTGAGGGGGTTGAGGGCTGGTGGGGGGGGTGGTCAGGGCCGATGAGGGGGGGGTGAGGGCTGGTGAGGCAATTGAGGGCCGGTAAAAGGACATCAGGGCCCGTGAAAAAGGGGTGAGAGCTGGGGAAGGGGTCAGGGTCAGTGAAAGCAGTGTCCCTGGCTCTTACCTTCTCCCTGGATAGTGCGTGTCACTACCTGACGGACGGGTCCCCGGAGCTGGATGTGACCTGGATCCCCAAGGACCTGAGGGTCTCCACCTGGGGTCAGACTGACCTCCTGGAAACCTGAGTCTCACATTAAGGATGGACTTGTGAGCTGTGGTCACTGCAAACCTTAGCTTCTCATACTCCCTCCCACCGAGGGCAGCAGTGGGCTGCCCAGCAAAAGGATACACAATGTGTCCAGGGCCCCGCTGGAGGGGTAGACCAGCTGCCCAGCTGAGGCTGTGTTCCCAGGAAGCCAGGCTAGGGCACCCCCAGTGAAGGTGTCGTCCAGCAGCAGCTGCCTCCAGTGCCCTGCCAGTTCCTCCTGCAACAGCTCCCCTAGGAGGCTGGTCGCCCACTTGCCCAGGATCGGGGCCCCGAGGATGGAGAAGCGGCGTTGCTTGGTGCTGATGGAGGCCCCAGGACACCTGGGAATGAGGGGACCATGCGGGTGAGGGCCAGGGGACGGGCTGGCCAGTGCAAGGGACACATACTTCTCAGTCACCTCAACTATTCCTCTGGGGAACCACCCTTCCTAGGCCTCTGCCCTTAGGTATTCACGTGACACAGACCTGCCACTCAGAGCCCTTTGGAGCCTCCAGCCACAGCTTCTGGCTCACCAATGGCCAGGAGACTCCGGCCAGGCCCATCAGAGCCCTTCCTGGGACATCTGCGGGTATTCAGGAAAGATGGTGGCTCTTTCCTTGTCACCACCTGGACACAGCCTGGTCTAAGGGTCAAGCCAGGCAGAGGAAAGCAGACCAGAAGATACGAAGGCTTTGAGCCCCGGCCACATGCTCTGGACGCCTGGATGCCGCCCAGCCTAAAGTCCACTCGCATACTTGTTATGCTAGCTAGAGCTGGTGGTTCTGTGTAAGGATCCACGGCCTGCTGACCGCACGGGGAGGGGGAGCCCTCCCAATGGGAGCGTGGGTCTTCCTCCAAGCCCGTGCCCACCCACCCGCTCGCATGACTTGCCCCCAGGGCTGGTGTCCACCGAGGTCCTGGAACATCCGCTGCACACTGACCACAGTCTTCTTCTTTGAGCGGCTCTGTGGGGAAAGGTCTCGTCCAGCTCCCCGCAGCAGGACCGCGGGCTCCCCCTAGTGTCCACAGCACTCACCCGTGCTCCCTGCAGTTTGAAGTGCTCCTGCAGCAGGCTTCCGAGGGGCCCAAATGCGATGTCCCCATGGTCCCACAGGAAGTGGCTGAGCTGAGGAAGGTGGCACCAAGGTTAGGACCATAGTCAGCTCACCAGGTGGCCTCTGGGCCGGGCCATTCCGGCTAGGGACCCCTCACCTGTTCAGTGACATCCAGTGTGGGTCGAGGTTGTCTGCGGAAGTGGTCACTACTCCGGAAAAGCAGGTCCTGGGCATTCAGTCCTGGGTCCCAGGGATCTGAGGGGAGTGGTGAGGGGGTCCACTGGGAGGACAGGACAGACAGGACCGGAGGTACTGAAGGGGAGGGAGTGGGAGGAAGAGGAGAACTTAGGTGGGGCAAACCCCTTACCAGGACTAGGGGGCAGCAGCGGGAAGGGCCCCGGCGTCGCTGGCTCCCATCGCAGGTGCCCCGTCAAGCATGGTGCCACGTTCTGAGGGATAAATCCAAGGACAGTGGCATGCAGGGCCAGCGCTGCTGTGACACATGCCACCACTGACGCTGCCACACCTGATTATGCCCCTCTGAGCACTTTGTCAGTAAAATGTTTTCACTGACAGGTGTATGCTGAGTCACCAAGTCTGTGTCTGAACTGAGGGTGTCCCTCTGGGCTTGGAAGAGGCAGGGTTGATGGGACACTTATGTCCCACTGAACTCTGAGAAGGATATTTCTCTGGACTCTCACAGCTTAGTGGCCCTACACATGCCCCTATGAGACACACTACCCCCTACAGCACCCAGCACAGACAGTCATTTGCGGCACCCACCACTGCTTTCATTTCAAACAGTTCGGCTAGTCCCCTGCTGGCTGCAGGTAGCCAGAGGGCAAACAGCTGCCCGGGAAATCCCTGAACCCAGAACGCAGTGGCACCAAGTTGGTTCAGATTCCTGGCGACCCAGCAGGACAGGGTGAACTGCCCGCAGGGTTTCCGAGGCTGTACCCTTCACGGGCGCGGACCACCATGTCCTTCTCCCCTGAAGCGGGTGCTGGGTTCACACCTGTGCACCAGGGCTCTGTTGTGTGCGCCCCAGAGGACACGTGGATGGGCACGCTATGTCCCCGACGCGTGAGAGGGTGAGCTCTCTCCGCGCACAACATGGGTCTTGATTATAGATTTTAATTAAATCAAGCTTCACAGGGGCAGCAGTCAAATCTGACAACACATGACACTGGGAAGACCTGAGGCCAAGGAGAGTGCTAAGCAGCAAGGAGATCACTTTGAAGGCTAAGGTGCAAGTGACCCAAGCCGTGATCAATTGCTTCATATGCCTGTGAAAGCTGTGCGACGAACACGGGGGGCCAAAACTCTGAAGCCTTTGTTGGCAGAGTGGAATATGCCATCGACTTCAAGAGCAACAGATCCGTCCTGGAAGAGGTGCAACCAGGGCGCTCCCTGGAGGTGGAGATGGTGAGGCTTTGCCTCACACACTCAGTTCTTTTCCAGAACTAGCTCCTCTGGGATCTGCTGGTCAGGAGGGGCTAGTCCCTGCATAAGGGAAAGGCAGTGAAAGCTAGGAAGACACTCAACTAGCAGAGGCTGTGATGACGGCATGGGATGAGGCCGCCTTCACTGTCCGACTGCTGAGGGCCAGGACCACTGTGGCACTGACAACACGCGGCAAGCAGCCTCAGCCGGGGAGGTGAGCAGAGGGGAGAGGGCTGAGCACGGCAAGCTGTGTCCGGCTCTCCTCTCTGGGCACGTCCTGATACCACCCTAGTCGGCCTCTGCTGGGCTGGCTGGAGCCGTCCCAGCTCTGACACTCACAGGGTGAGGGAGTCATCCAGCTAAGACACTCAGTGGGGGGTTCACGATGCCCCACCTTCCTGGAGAAGAAGGCAGCCAACAACACCCCTGACCCCCTTCCAAAGGGTCCTCTACCATCTGATCCACGTGGCCCTGGCCTGGCTCACGGCACAGATGAGCTGTCTGCAAGTGGCAGGGGGACAGCTTATGGTTCCAAAGAGCCAGTGTGGCCGCCGAGGATGCCAGCAGAAGCCCACAGAAGGCTCCCCAGTGCGGGTCTTGGTCCTTGCCATGCTGTCCCAGCATGCTCTGGGTCTCACTCAACACTATCACAACTTATGGTTTGATCCGCTGGCCTGACCACTGGTTTATTCTTGCCCAGTCAAACTCTGAGGTCCACGAGGGCAGGGACTGGGCTGACTACACTGCGGCCACTGGTCAGCAGGCCGGCTCCGAGCCCATGACGCTCTGTCCTGCGGCATGGAGCACGGTTGGGTGGCACCATCCTTGGGAAGTCTCTGGTGAAGAGTAAGTTGTGAATTCTGAGTAAAGGCTTTCCCACACTCTTTACATTCATAAGGTTTCTCACCAGTATGGACCTTTTGATGTCGATTGAGTTGGGTATGTCCAAGCCCAGCTGTGCAGCCCCTCCCTCTCACGTCTGTCCTGGCCGTGATCATCCGGTGTGCACTGAGGAATGCCCGTGCAGCGGGAGACGGGGTGCAGCCCATGGCTCTGGTCGAGTGAGCCTGCTGTAAGCAGCTGCTGTCCCCCAAAACGCAGGGCGGGGCCTTTGCTGATCTCTACTAATGCCACCACCCTATATCCCTGCCTGCTGGTGGGAGGGTCAGCAAATATGGACCCCCTCAGGGGACTGGTTCTCGCTCACCTCCTCACCCAGCCACTCAGGAACAGGCCCAGGGCTCCCTCACCTCCTCACCTGGCCACTCGGGTACGGGCACTCCGGCAGGGTCAGTGCATCTTTCCAGCTACACAAGGAGGATAGATCAGGGGCGTTGCTCAGACCAAGGGGGCCACTCAGGAACAGTGTTGGGGGGAGCGGGCAGGGGAAGTCCATTCTGGAATACAAAAGGTATGCAGTCTCCTGCAGCCCTGAACCCAACAATGGCATCCAGGGCACCTGGGAGGGCAAGTGATGCCCTCAAGAGGGCGTATCCATCAGGAACCAAACTCTACCATGGTGCCAAGTCCCTGCGACCCCACAGGACAGGGCAGAGTTGCCTCAGGGCCTGCAAACCCTCAGCTTCATGGACAGGAGTCCTGATGACACAGCAGGTTAAGCACTGGACTGCTAAAAAAAGGTGGACAGTTCGAACTCCCTTCCTACCTGCTTGCTGGGACAGAGATGAGGAGCCTACTTCCCAAAAGATTACAGTTTTGGAAACCTGGTGGGCAGTTCTCTGTGCAACAGGGTCAGAGAGCTGGCACCAAGTTCATGGCGGCGGGGCTGGCTTGGGCAATCTCTCTGAGGCATGGTGGCCACATCCTCCCGTCATGGACTCTGAGGGAGCTGGCAGCAACCAAATGACAGCACCCCCTCATGCCAGATTGTCAGGAGTGTCCTGCCACAGCGAGGGGACAACAGGGCCGAGGCTGCGGGAGCCACGGCATCCAGGAACGCCTTGGTGAGGGGCTGCTGGAGCAGTGCTGGAATCTAAGAGGGGAATGGCTGGGAAGAGGGTTCCGGAAAAGGACAGTCCAAGAGCCCTGGGCAGGAAAAGCTCGGTGAAAACAGAACAAGGAGACGTGAGGCATGATGTGAGGCTAGGGGCGAGTTTCCATCAAAGCCCTTAATACCCTGCATTAAAAATGAACGTCTGTAGCCCCAACTCCCCAGGAGAGGCTCAAGCTCCCCCAAAGCTGAGGACTGAGTCTTGTCCACCTGTCTTCCCAAGATCAGGTACAGGCCATTCCAGAAAATGCACCAACTGCTCTGAAGGACACAGGCTTCTCCTCTTTTATGAAACACAGAGGGCAGGAGCACCGCTCACTCGGGCCTCCCGTCACTCTGGCCTCCAGTCACTTGGTCCTTCCATCACTTGGCTCTGCCATCGCCACGTACGGCCTCCCGCCTCCACTCCTCTCCATCGCCCCTACCGAATTCAGCTGTGTCACTAACCAAAAGCCAGCACCACTCCGGCAGCTCAAATCCATGGGTGGCTCCACGGGAGAAAGGTGGGCAGTCTCCTCTCACACGATCTACAGTCCCCTGAAAACCCACTGGCAGGCCAGTTATGAGTCCTCTCTGACTACACAGCAGAGCAGGAAGGAGAGAGAGACTGACTCACTGTGACATCCAAGAAACCAAGACGTAAGACAGAGGACTTGTCCAAGGTCAACAGCTTGTAAGGACCAGAGCTGGCACTCCATCTGCCAGCAGACTCCGAGTCCACGCTCTGAACACGCTTTCCTAACCCAGTGATCAGGATTAAGTGCCCTGCATCCCTCCAGTTTACGGTCTGTTCCTTCTGTGAGCAGCACGGCACACCGTGCTAAGCTGTCAGGTCGCCTGCTCCACTGAGAAGACCCTGTGTTGTCCATAATAGAAGTTCCTACACCCCAGTGCCACTGTATTTGCCACCTGGTAACAAGGAGTACATAGCTCTGGTGGCCTAGTGGCAAGAAGCTGCACTACAATCACAAATGCAAGTGGTTCGAATCTACCAGCTGCTCCATGGGAGGATGGGTAATCTCCGATGCGATTTACTGCCTCTAAAATCCTGCCGGAGAGTCAAATATGGGTCGGTTCTGACTCAAATGTACACAATAACAACAACAAAACCGAGGAGTACAGGGGAGCTATGGTGGTGTGGCAGGTTAAGTGTTGGGCTGCTAACCCAAATGCCAGTAGTTCCAACCCATCAGCTGCTCCATGGGAGAAAGATGAGGCTGTCTGCTGTTATAAAAATTTAAAGTTTAGAAACAGTAGAGGGACATGTGTGGGTTTGGTTAAAAAGGGAGTTTAACCAAATTTAATTTGCAGGAACAAATCCAGCTATGGGAAGGGGGAGGAACCAATCAGCCTCAACAAACCCGCTGACTGAGGGCGACAGTAGAGCCCAGGACTTCAGAAAAGTCCCCAGACGGGCAGCCTCGACTCCCCTCCACCGCCGATCCCGCCAGTCTCCTGCCCTCACTCCAGGATCCCAAAAGTTTTCTAACACCCAAGGCTGCAGAGATTGATCAGCTCTGGATTAACACCTCATCCAGGACAATAAAAACCCTCAGAGGATGGGAAAGGGGATCCAGATGGCATGCATATCCCAAACTGAGTCCTTTCTCCCACTTCTGCCCATTCCACTCCCCCAGCTCCACATTCTCAGCTGCAAACGGGAGGAAATCTCGAATCTCGTGTCTGATGCCAGGCAGCTGCCACCACGCTTTCCATTTGTGGAATCACTCTGTGAGCTGGGGGATGCTAATCACTCACTCCGCAGACAGTTAAAGGGCTTATTCCAAAGACACAGTGCTTGGGGTCTGCGGGGCAGCCCGGCGTGTAAACTGAATCTCCTCCCGGACCCCAGACTCCGCCTCCCCTCCATCAGCGAGCTCTCCTCTCCATCACCTGCCAGCGCGAGAATTTACCTGCTTGGGTCTCAACGTGCTTGTCTGGAAAACGGGTCCCCGCACAATCCCCGTCCAGCGAAGGCACCCCAAAGAGGAAACCTCAGCCTGAGAACCCTAAAAACAGGCCACCAACGATGTTAATTCACGGGTTTCCGGGTCTTCCCGGAAGTGGCCCACGGAGACAGGAAGTCCCGCCTCCCAGCTCCGCATGCCAGGCGTCCGCGAGCGCCACCTCCGGGGCGGAAGGGGAATGGAGTGCAACCTGTTCAGTGAGAAATGGAAAAAACCTCATGTCTCAACGGCAAAGACCTGATGGCTTTAGGTTCGAATCCCATCTCCGTTGAACCAATGTCAAGGTATTAATGAACTAATTCTGCAGATTCTGGACCATGAATAAGGATGATCAAAGAAGAACTGATGCCTTTGAGTTGTGATATTGGAGAAGAATAATGAATATCCAGGTTGCACGTGATATTGATGATATTGTTTGACAGTTTCCCCGTTCAGTTGGATCACCTTTCTTGGCAAGGGGAACAAATATGGACCATTTCCAATCCGTTTGCCAGACAGCCATCCTCCAAATTTCCTGGCATAGACTGTGAGTGCATCCAAGGCTGCATCTCTCTTTATTTTTATTTTTATTTTCTTATTTTGTACATATACCACCAAATAAGATCTGACTGGTACAGGAGGAGATTGTCCCTCCTTCTCCAGCAGAGCATCTGGTGGATTCGAACCGGACACCTCTGGATGCATCTCTTAATCAAAACAAGTCAATTGGTATCCCATCGTTTTTGTCCTTCTGAGCTGCCCTTTGAAATTTCCTGTTCAGCTCTTTTGCTTCAGCAATTTTTCCATTTGTTAGAGTCCTTTGAAGTCCATTTCCATTTTTTCTTTCTCCTCTGTTTTTGTAATGACCTTTTGCTTTCTTCGTGGATGATATCTTTGATATCATGCCACAACTCATTTGGTCTTCGGTCATTGGTGTTCTATGCCTCAAATCTATTTCTAAGATGATCTTGAAATTCAGATGGAACTGATTTGTTCTTATTTTTGTTTAGAAGACTGAATATCTCATGGACAGACAAAACAACAAACATGTCTTGGAGAAGGTGCAGCCAGAGTGCTCTTTGGAGGCAAGAATGATGGGGCTTCACCTCACATACTTTAGGCATGTTGCTAGGAGGGGGCTATTCCTTGGAGAGGGACATGATGCTAGGCGAATTGGAGAAGGAAAGGATGACCATCAACCAGGTAGACAGACTTATTGACTACTACAATGGACTCTAGTGTGTCACAAAGTGTGCAGATAGTGTAGGGTACAAAAGGGTTCAGAACTTTTCTTCATAGGGTCGCTATGAGTTGTACTTGACTCAGCAGCACCTAACAACAACAACAACTGAATATCCCATGGATTGATAAAATTAAAAACATATACGTTTTGGAAAAGGTGCAGCCAGGGTGCTCCTTGGAGGCAAGGATGGCAAAGCTTCATTCTCACATGCTTTGGGCATGTTGCTAGGAGAGGCTATTTGTTGGAAAGGGACATCATGCTTAGAAATGTGAAGGATCAGATGTGGGAAGCCACGTGTTAAAGCAAATGCTTAATCAGGAACTGAAGGAAGCACAAAACAAGCTGGAATTCCTCTTGTAACTGTACAAAACAAGGCAAAGGTATTTCTCTTGAGACAGATCAGAAGAGATGGGCGGTAAGGCAGACCTGCGGCGCCCCCACTATTCTCAACTTTTCGCTTATTAGCGACTTTGTTCCTGAGATAAGCGTAAGAAGTCAGCAAAGAAAAACACAGCGTCATTAGTAAAGAGCTCTGACTTATCTCCCGGCCATTTTCAAGAAAAGCAAGAGAGACACTAAGCTCGCGACAGCAGGAGTTTTGGCGCTGTATGTCCATCCCCTGCCTTGACTCTCTGTTCTCTGCCTCATTTTTCAGTGTCCTTGTCTCTTCATTTGCCCCGGTCAACAACAGAGAAAAAGAGGAAGACCCCCCCAACCAGATGGGCTGACACAGTGACAGCAACACTGGGCTCAATCAGAGGTGATGAGGATGGCACAGCATAAGACAGGACAGGATTTAAGTCTGTTGTTCATAGGGTCGCTATGAGTCGTACTGGACTCAACAGCTCCTAACAACAACAAAAGCAGATGTTTACTATGCACTCTAGTGGCACAATGGATTAAACGTTGCGTATGAGCTGGCACTATTACTCAGGAGTACTGTTGATGGTCCTCCAATCTGAAGAAACTGGTTCCAGAAACAAGTTTGGGAATATCACTGGAGGGTATTAGGAAGGTGTAACTCAGGATGCCCTCCTGGCTACATGCGTTAACCCCTTAAATTCATTCTGAGGCATACTGACTCTACAAAGACTTGCCTTCTGGGGTTCCCAAGCTGAGTGTCTTTAGGGAAGCTGATTACCACTCTTTTTCACTCAGCATGACTGGCGGGTTCATTTAAATCATCAATCTAAGGGCTTGCAGCTGGACACTTTACCCATCACACTAAAATACGCCTTAGCTTAAAGATGCGGTTCCCAAGAATGCCGTGAGAGGGGTAACCCCAGGTACTACCGCTTGTGGCTGCACAGGAGGCTGACCTTCTCATTGGCTCGACAGGCTGGGGCGAGGTCCCGTGATGCTAGATACAGACCTTCCTATTGGCTGGGAAGTCAGGAAGGCGGTGCCACCTGGAGACCAGCCTTTCCATTGGCTGGGCTGTTAGGGGCGTAGCCGGTGATGCACTGCTGGCCACGTGCTCCCCACGCACCACGGCTCTGCGTGGGTAAAGAGCACGCGCAGTGTGAAATCGATCTGGCCCTTGGCCTCTTCACCTGGTGTAGCCATGGCTTCTCTGGCCAGCGCAGCCGTGGGTGTGGACAGTGCCCGCAGGAAGCCCCGCCTGGCCGCTTCATTGAAGATCAATCCAGGGCCTAGCCCTTGGCGCCCCTCGGTCGACTTGACCCAAGACCCCTGGGAGCTGGCATCCAACTCTGGCGTGGAGAAAGACAATGAGGCTGGCCAGCAGCCCCAGGCCTCGGCGGCGGCAGGGGACGGTGGGCCGGGGCGGGCAGGAGCAGAGGCAGCGTGGACACGGGGGTGTCCTGGAGAACGGATAGGGACGACCCCATGGTCTTTATTCCGCAGGGCCAGCCAGGGATTTCCCGTCTACAGTCAAGCAGCTGAGTCAGCACCTCAAAGAGCCACCCCCAGGCCAGGCCGTGGCCTTGCTCATACAGTACGCGGACAGCCTGGGGGTGTCCCTCATCTTCCGAGAGGATCAGACGACAGGTGAGCGCCAGGGTACCTGTGTGTGGCGATGGATGCAGGGCAGGCGGGGGTGGGGGGTGGGGGCTGAGTCACAGGACCAGAGCAGGGAGTGGACACAGGCCACCATGCTCTGAAAATGGTCTAATGACCAGCTGACCCAAACAAAGGGGGAGGGAGACTGTGAGTTGGACTGGGCCTGAGGCTTCGCCTGTCTGTGGAAGGATGTGTGTTAATGAGCCTCAGATACACCCTAGCTACCCAGGGACGTCTCACGACGCAGGGCCATGACACATGGTCTCCATGTGAAGCACTGGTGGCGTAGTGGTAAAGAGTGGCCCTGCTAACCCAAAGGCATGTGGTTCAAGTCCACCTGCTGCTCTGAGGGAGAAAGATGGGTGGGTCATCTCTTCTTTGTGTTACAGTCTTTGAAAACCCACTGAGGATCAGCTGTGAGGGGGTCCCCACCCGACAGCACACAGCTTAGGTGAAGCTTAGGGCACTTAAGGGATAAGACATTGCCTCACAGTGGCTCAGAAGCACCTTGTTTTGAGAGTTGGCATCGGAGAAGCCCCAGAAGGTGAAACAGCAGAGATCAAATCCTCCCACATGCTAGTCTTCCCATGTTCGCCCAGCCTGGTCAGTGCACTCCTGCGCTCTGCTCGCTCCCTTGCCCGCGTTCTCT